GGTAGCAATCGTTTATTAGACTCGAAAAAGGTCGTCCCGATTTGCACGTACAATAATGCACAGAAAAAAATTCGTCCATTGAACACTCCATACCGGCTAATGAGGTCATTTTCCAATAAGATAATCAACAATGGTATGAATAATTAATTAGGAATAACTGTATTACAGCTATCGTTTTAGCGTCATTCGAGCATTAATGAAGTGAAGGATTCGAAGAAGAAAATTATTTATACATATATGTTGTCTATATAATTCATATATTATTTTATTATTTCATTTCACCTATTCATTTATTTGTTTTACTTTATTCCAAATGATAATATGGGAACGTGCTCAATTTAACACAATATTAACAAATAACAAATAAAATAAAAATTGTTTGTACAAGATATTTTACAGTAGAGCTGATCGGTGCATCCGGGTTGGGACCCAAGTACTATATGCATCTAATCGTAGGTACTACACTAGTTGGGTCCGGGATATTTTCGAGTTTTACACTAATTGGGTCCGGGATTATTTTAAGTAAGTAACAAAGCATTTAAAAAAAATATACAATCCAATCGAACAATATTATAAATTTTCATAACCCGAATATGTCAGTGCTCAATTATCTATCTAACTAGATGGCAGTCTGATGTTTCTTTCATTTGATATTTGGTCAGAATTTCATACATTGACAATGAAAACCACATATTCCTTCGAGTCATTTCATTCGCATTTTAATCCTACATTTTACACAGGTCATTAGTTAATCCTTAATTCAGAAACTGTGACACTGTATTATATCCACATTTCTATGGCCACGGAATTAACATAGAAAACCGGTAGAAATTGCGTTTTTTTTATAAAAATCGATTAATATATACAAGGCCAGATTAAGCATCTATTGAGCTCCAGGACTGAAATTTTATATGGGCTCTTTTGTCAGAACATGATTTACAAAGCTACGCTCGCAGAACGATATATTTTTTAATTATTTCACAAATTTTCAATTGCATTATAAAATTATAAAATGGATAGATATATAAAATTTATGTCTACTACTAATTTTAGTATGATAAAAAATGTGTATCGGCTTAAAATTATTTGGGCCCCTTTCACTTGGGTACTTGAGAGGCCCCCGAGGCTACCACCCCGGCTAGACCCTCCCTTAATCGGGCCTTGATTATATAGACTAGAGATCTTGGTATAGAAATAAATATCAATAGATCTGGAGATTGTATCGGTTTTTTCTTAAACATACTAAAATTATACTGTTCCGATCAGAAGCGTTTTCATTGGGAGAGAAGGCAATGGTCAAGATTCCACTCTTAAGATGGACTTACTTATATAATAATTGTTCAATTTTATATTTTATATTAAAGTAAATGAGATTTTTTTTTTTTTTTATATCAATTGAATCTTGTTAACATGAATATAGATTCGCGTTTATTAAATATGTTATTTATTTAATTATAATTCGTATAATACTATTTATGGTATAATTTATGGATAAGAACTGAAATAAGCCGAAGTATATTAATAGGATTGGCACTTTTGCGTATTCACAGGCCGATTGGATTGAATGTAGAAAATATAATAGACCACTTTGCTATGAACAAAAGATTTAGAAATTTTTTTCTATATGAACCAATTAAGTACATTTGTATACTATGATGACTCTGATAATTTGTTTTTAATAATATAAAATTTTAGTAACACAAATGTTTTTTAGAAGAGATAGTTTTTAAATTCTATAAGATGAAAAAAAAAGTCTACACTATATACATGAATCCCATGCAAATTAATTTTAATTTTTTTATTATTTCGCCCTCCCCACTCATATAAAAAGGTCTAGAGACGTCTTAGGTCCCAGTGGAAAAAAAGTCATAAAAATGTTGTATTTTCGTATAATGCTCTCAATAAATATTTGTAACGTCCAGATTTTTAAAAATACATAGTCTTCTACGATTCACCTATAACAATTTTGACTATAAATTTCAACATTTCATAAACTGTGTATTCGTTTCATACATTTATTTTTTATTATTTTTGTTTTCGCATATTTTAATAAATATGTCTATGATTTACATACTCAATAAAATTTAATATAAAATACAGTTTTCGATCTAGTGTGTAAAAATTACGCTATGTATTACATAATATGCTTTAAGATATCAGAAAACAGTTTATTTGTGTATTAACGACGATCTTATCGGATCTAACACACGAACGAAAACAGTTTAAATCGAACACGACACGTGTACAGAAAGGACGACATTACGGTTGTGCGCGCGGACGCCTAAGAAAAACGACGTCGGAACAAATCGAATCGCGTATTTTACTTGCACCCGACGTACGTATATTAACTACGTTATGTGCGCATATGTTTATATGCGTACGAAACAAGAATAAACGGTAAATGGAGCGGGTCGGTCGCGGTGTATCCGGATATGGTTTTCACTGTCCGAACAAATGAAATCGTTGTTTTACGTGAAATCGAAATAAACCGTGTGTGTAGGCGAATACGAAAGGTACGCACCCCTCTAAGCACAGAAAAAACGATTTCGCATGCCGTTTGACATTTTTATTCGCGCGTCGCGGATGGTCTTTTACGCGTAAAGCGTTACGTACCCTACGGGATGCACACGTACGTGTGTGCATACTTTATCCGAAAATCGAATCCGTCGGATGTACTGCACACAACTCGGGCAGTATTAACAATATTGAATCGACGTGCGTAGCAGGAATAGTTCGAATGGTTCTCGTAAACATTTCGCGTCGAAACGAATGTTTTCAGTATCGAAATAAACGTTACGTATGATCCGTGCGAAACATCCGCGACGAATTAATGTATTTTAATTGCGAAACAGAAATTTCGCTCCTCCTCCGTTTACTGTCGAAACACATAAAAACAATTGCCGTTTCGTACACGATACGTTTTCGTCGCACAGGCGAAACTAAATGAGCGATGCTTCGACTCGTTAGCGCCACCACGACGCTATACCTCACTGCTACAGCAGTGTAAACGGTTATTTCTGAAATACATTTGTATCACGTAAGAAGTTCGCAACGTCGAAAAATTTAACTTTAAAAATTATTTTACTATTTGCGATTGAACAAGAGTTCATTTCGGAGGGGGAACGATTTTAAAAAGAGTTTACCCAACCATTCATACAAACTTACATGGACATAATGAATTGTTTATTGCACCGGTATAAAGTAGTAAGTTAAACTAATATGTTAAAATAGGACTAGCAATGTGATTAATAGTTACCAAACTGTTTGATGAACTAGATGATGCAGACGGAGTAATAACTGTCTTAGTTTATTTTTCTTTTTCTTTTTACTATCAGTATTATCAATGAAGACTTCTTTGCGCTTTAACCACTGGTTCGTTAAATTAAATATATTGATCACTGAGATTCGAGACACAAATAATGATAAATATGAAATAAATACTCAACGTCAAAGAACTAATTAATTGTTTTAACATAAGGAAATATAAAAACAAAAGTTTATAAACAAAATTACATTATGTGCGTAACGCAACCACTATAACCAATCATAACCGTGTTTATGAACAAAAGTTACTATATTGGTCATAGTAGAATCGGTTATCGCAGATAACAAAAGATGATTTGTCACATTAATACCAGGTCAACCAGGTCACCGGCGACTAAATTACCTAAGGGGATCTAATTGGCCAGTGATCTACTTGACGAGGTGGTCATTTTCACTAGTCGAAGTATATTGTTTTCCATGTTTTCGAATCTTTTAGTGTGCCACCTGACTAATACGACGACATATGTACCCCAAAGACATATATTTGTTATGTATATATTATCACTGATATAATATTTTTCAGAATTTTTTTTTTTTAACGAAATGCCCATTAGTTCAGAGGTGCAAATAGGGGTGAGGTTTGGGGATAGTACCTTCCCCCGAAATTTTTCTGAGGTTTTTCCAAATTCTACGTAGAAAAAAAAATAGTTTATCATCTTGAACACGCGAAACTGCTGATTGATATGAAATATGAATACATATTCGTATTATAATTGATAACAATAATAACATGACTACATGGAACGTTTTGTAACATTCCGTTAAACTTCAAAACAACTATATAACCTTGCTACTACGATTTCTCGATAGTGGATTGTATAATACTTTTTTTTTTTTTGTGGTATCACAATATGAAATAGAATTTAAACAGTTACAAACTAAACTTAAATATTTTACTCATAAACCAAACTTAATCATACTTCCTTATCCCCACCAAACACCTGCGAAAAATGCTTATTTTCTCCAAATTCACAACCCCCCCTCCCTTTTTTTTAGTATTTCAAACCCAGTCGCCGACTGGTGGTTATAACCGGACAGGAAAACCGCCTCTAGAGAAAAAAACGCTACCACCTCTTTGTCCGATCTCACCCAAAACACTCCAACATTCAATTATAAACTTACCGTGCCAAAAAACTCATGTGTGGGCTGTAACCTGGACTCGGTTACCGGGCTCTCCTTATCAAATAGATCAATAAAATAAAAAACAATTAAAAAAAAAACCGAAAAGATTGCAACATTGCACACTCATATTGCGTTTATGTAAATCTAAAGCAAATTCTGTTAGGAACTGGATGAAGACTAAAATCCACGTCACCTCGGAGTGATATATTTCTGTCGTCTTTTTTATCAACAATAATCTATTGGTATTAAATAAGATTTAATACCGGAGTCACCGGAACGACGTATACATACATTGTCAATTATTGTCACGGTTAAAGTAAACTTAATATTATAATGTACAGTTTTATGCGCTGGCCAAATTTGGGCGGCTTTATTTTTTATTAGCTAAATCTATGGGTTATTAATATGGACATAACAACAATAATATTGCTATGAAACATAATTTGCCATCTGCATTTGTTACATTTTGGTCTTAAAGTACGATTATTGATTCTTTTGTACATTTGATCATTTATAAATTAATTATACTAATAATTAATACATTTGACATTAAAATGGATGCATACACTCTACATTTGTTGAAGAAACTACAAAAAGCGAAGGATCGCAATGAGATAAGCGATGAAGAGTACTATATTCTAGAGCAATTAATCTTGGGCAACAGGACCACGAATCGCAAAGATAAGGAATACGCCAAATCGACGAATACGCATCGCTCCTATTTTGGGTGGACATGGAGCTGGTCAACGGTAATGCAAGAGTTGAGGTTACCACTCATTTACCTTTCGATTGTTCTGTTCGCGATCCAGTACTTTACCAAAGGTAATTATGTACAGATATTTATTGAACTATTATACTTGAATGTTGATTTGTTTTTTCAAAATTCAAAGAATATCGTCACCCAATATATACATGATCAGCCGTCAAGTGACGTTGTACTGAACTAATAATGTAATAAACTAATAATTCTTCGATTTAGAACACGATACAAAGAATTGGTCGTACTGCGATGTGTTGATGAAGAAACAATGTCAAAACGGCGGTGTACTAGTTCAGAATAAAGGAGTGTTCACGTGCCAATGTCCGCGTGATTATTACGGGGAACTATGTGCCGATGGTAATATCGATCGCACGATATCGTTTGGTCGACAGCCACATACACGTTTACAAGACGTTCGGCTCCGAGTGTTTTCGGCGACGAATATTCAACAAACTATATGGTTTTTTTTTTTTTTTTTTATTCGTTGCAGAGCGATACTTTTCAATTATTTCCCGGCTGATAGGTGGTGCTTGGTTCGACGGTGCGAATGAAGACATGCGAAGAGGTGCGCCTAAAACGTGGTGGTGGCAGTCCCTTTTTCCGACCACTGATCCTGCGGAACGGTACCAGAAAACCGTTATCTCGTGTAAGCATAACGATCCGTCGCACTCGCGGCAACGAGGCCAAGGTACGTGTACGTAACAGTTCAAACGTTGTGATTTTCAGTCCACCAACAGCAACTGAAACGGATGACGGACGACTGGGTTTCAACGGACGGCACCGAGAACGACATCCTAGTCTTGTTGACGAACTCCAGCAGGATATTACTGCCCGACCGTCCGATATACTGTCCCGTTAACGGTAAGTATAATATTCGTATACCTCTCAGAACCATAATAGTGACCAGTGTGTACCGTCCGCAGAGAACTTGCCACCGTTGAACACGTTGTACGACCAAGTGTTCAAGCGGGAAAAGGACGGCGGTTTGACGCAGGACCCGAAACGGCGGAATCTGCTGTACCGCACGTTTTACCGGTACTTCGTCATGCAGTTTTTCGGAAAAGATTACGATTCGACGGTGACGGGCTCTCAGCTGTACGGGACCGACGGGTACGCGGAGAAAAGGCTCAGGTCGATGGCCGGCGGCAAGCTGAAGACCGAGTACTCGGGCGGTGAACAGTATCCGTCGCGGTTGTCTTTCGCGGAGAAGATCCGGAAGGTGTTCACCCGGACGCCGGTATCCGACCAACAGCACTGGGTAAGCACCACATTTATTAGGACGAACGGCAATGTATCCGATCGTTTAACAACCGATTTTACCCGTGTATTGCGTTTGGCGGCAACAATAACAGTTCAACCAAGCGGTGACCGTTGGCCAACCACCGCGGTCGGTGTTCGCGGACGTTTACGGGGCCCTGCGCACCCAGTGGGCAGTGGCCAACCCGCTGTTGGGCGAGGACTCGCTGCTGTTCGCCATGACCACATTATGGATGCGTGAGCACAACCGCGTGTGCGACCTACTGACGAACCGTTGGCCCGAGTGGACGGACGATCAGCTGTACGCGGTCGCCAGGAGGACGGTGGTCGCGCAGATGATGGCCATCATGATGAACGAGGTGTTGCCCGCGGCCAATCCGTTCACGTTGAAATACGACCCAGAGTCGTACCGCGACGTGCTCCTAAACACCAGCACCACTGCTAAAACGCCGCTGGAGTTGTTGTTGACGACGATCTTACCGTCCGGTCTACCCGACGGTTTAGACGACACTAAGTCAGTTCGATTGGATATCTCTGTTTACTGATCTTGCCCTCGGCTCGTTTCGATGAATAATCACAGGCGCATAATGTGCCTAGATCATCCGACGACGCGCGACGGTTATAATATTATATTTCATTCGCAATGGATAATCATTCATATTTTTTGTCGAACTGGGTTTGAGTCCTACATCCATGTGTCGCCTAATCAACGACTAGAACAAATACCTACCATTGTTTCCCTAAATTTGGTTTCGATACTTAGTTTTTTCAATAAAGAAATAATAAAAAAAAAAAAAAAAAAAAATTAAAAAAATTATAATTGATTTAGGTATAATAAATAATTTAATTTTATAAAAATAAAATAGTAAGTAAGGATTTCGTTGAATTTGTGTACACCTGACGATGAATTTTTCGAAACCGGTCGTAAAAGTGTAATAAAACTCCAGGCTATTTCTGTATACAAATTATTTGTATGTTTATGTATTAGTTTTTTAGTTTTGAACGATTTCGATGGTTTTTAATTTTTGATTATCATTTTCAGGCAAATATTAGCGAGTGGTATGACTGAAACGGTTAGATTCATGGTCGATCAAAAAATGGGATCGTTGACTAGCAACAATGACGGCGATGCGACGATGCCGCTAACAAAATTACTGATCAAATTATCCCGGGAAAATAGGATAAAAGGTTTTAACGATTATCGAAGACATTTCGGATTAAGACCCTACAAAAGCTTCTACGAGCTGACCGAAAACCACGAAACGGCCAATAAGTTGGTATCGTTGTACGGAGATATCGATAACGTAGAGCTGTTGACTGGAATGTTGACAGAAAAAAAAAGTGACAATGTAGTTCCCACGTTTACGGTCATGATCAATAGTTTTATAGTTAATTCGATCATCACAAATCCTCTGGGTAGTAAAGACTTATGGAATGCAGATACGTTCGGAGGGGAACACGGTTTTGACTTAGTAAAATCAGCCAACATTAAAACATTTATTTGTAAAAATCTGATCGATAAATGCGACAGTAATTTTACTGTCGATATTTATGCAAACTAGGTTTCAACATTTTTTAAAGAGTTGACATATTGTATAGATCTTATTCTTTATTTGACTAATGCAAATTAATTTATAATTGAAAAATCAATGATCTTTATTCAGTTACGTATTTAAGTTTAGTCCAAATAGCCATTTTTTTCAAATACAATACCTGACGTATTTTAATGTTATAATATACTAAGTAATCGGAGTAGTCCAGCATGTTTTACCGATGGAAATATATCCGTATATAAATATTAATCAATGTTATTGACGACTATGTATGAGACTCTTAAGAGATGATAGAAATATGATCACATTAATTTATCGCAAGAATTACAAAAAATATAATTGGATTATACGATCGTGGCATACAAAGAACACACGTTATAAGTTACAACCATTGAACCAAAAACGGCTGATGAGGTATCTTATCAATATAAGATATTTTACTGTTTACGTATTGTCATATAAAATATATGCATTTAAATAAACGAGGACACTGATACTAATGTGCTAATTTTCGTTAAAATTATAGGTTTACAAGTTGAAAAGTAAACCAGAATAAAACAAATGTGATGAGTCTGATGAAGTAAAAGTTATCTAAAAGTATTTTCTTACAGAAGGTGCATAAGTTGTATGATATCATTCAACTTGAATAGTAACATCTGATATGACTAATTCACATGGATTAACTCGTTTAAAATTAGTACAGTAATTTATAAATTATAAAAAGCATTGTAGAAAAATAGAGGATAACCACGTATAATAAACATTATAATTATTTTTTCGGATTCAGCAAAACTATTTTTGACTTTTTAGTTATGAACACTATAAATAAGTTGAATAATATGACGTGTGTGAAGATGGCCCCCCCCCCACATTGTCCAATTTTCCCCAAACGGCTGGTACCGAATTGGTTCCCGAGCTCCAAACCCACGCACCGAATTGGTTCCCGCCTGAAAAAGTTATTTTATTAGGTATAGCCGAATTGGTTCCCATTTGAAAAAGGTATTTTATTAAGTATAGCCAAATTGGTTCCCATTTAATTACGCACATTTTCCTTCTTAATTTTATAGGCTTAGGACTGTCAACTTAAAAGTAGGTTTGATTAATAATGTGCATTAATGTGTGTTAAAAAAAAATGATAAAATATATACAATTTTAAATCGTTGATTTGGAAGTCTCTAGTAATCTATAGTCTTCTATATTTCTATACTCTATCTTATAGATATAATAATTGTGACTATTATTATGTCATAAATATAGTTTTTAAAATTTTGTTTTTTGCTCTTTATGCACTGGCCCGCTAGATTTTAATTTTTAATATTGTTAGTAAATTATTTTAAAAATTAAAATTGTCCTTATTTTACCTGTACACAAACGGGAACCAATTCAGCTATACCTAATAAAATGCCTTTTTTAAACGGGAACCAATTCGACTAAATGGGAACCAATTCGGTTACTCCCCCCCCCCAAACCTCAACCATTATTTTGAAAATAATTTGAAAACATTTGAAAACCAGTTTTCAGAATTTGAAAACTCTTGCTTTCACCGCAAAAAGCAATATGAGCTTGTTTTATTTAATATATTTTTACTAGGACGGGGGAGTAAGGGGGATTTCATATTTGATAGCAAACTGAGCCTTACTCGTGAAATTCTGTACTTGGTACAGGCCTTGTCTAGGTCGACTTTTACCTCGGATAAATGATAAAAAATTATAGTAAATATAGTAATTATAGTAAATGCCAATACCAGCTTATGTAAATATATGTTTTATTTTTAACCACGATTAAATATAAGATGGTTACTCAACAAGCCGTAGTATTAATACAATGTATGCTTCTGAAATATTCTTAACAATTTCTGTTGATAAGAACTGAGTATGAGTGTTCCAAATGGTAAAGACAGGTATTAATTTCCCTCCAATTTACCATGGTTTAAATCACGATTAAGCATATTAAACTTTAGTACTTTTGCGTTTTTTTTTTTATGTTTTTGAATATAATTTTTTAATAATTATACATTTATAATTACGCACCTTTACCCAATTAACTAAAATGAAGTTTTGTGTACCGAGTTGTGTTAATCAACACAAATATTCTTTTATTGTACCTAAAAGTGATATTAAATTGAAAGAATGGGAGTGTATTCAAGGTATAAAATTAAAAAAACGATTTAGAATTTGCGGATCACATTTTAATAGAAATGATATTATTGATACGTGGGAGCCTGGACAAGGCTTTTCCAAATACACGGTAAGTTAAGTTTAGTATACATTAATTAACTTTAATAACCAACTATATAAACTATTCTATATAGTAATAGATAATAATTAGTTAATATTCAATATGTTATGATTTATAAGCAAGTATTAAATATTTTAGATATGTTTAAAACGACCTAGATTAAGAGAAGGTGCTGTTCCATGTTTTATTAAAAGTGACACATCATTGCAAAATGTTCAGGTATTATTCTACTTATTTAGGTATTGTTCAGGTATTCTAATAATCTAATAAAACAACTGAATTAAATGTAATAATTATACACTAGTAATATTATACCTAATGTATTATTGTTTCTAATTAACCAGAAAGAATCTATAGGATTAAAACATAATAATGACCATAACTACTGTTTTAGTATGGAATGTAGTCCATCAATCAATAATGAATATGAAGAAAAAATATACTCACTTCGTAAAAAAATTAAAGTAGTTAATTTATAAAACACTTAATTAACATTATTGTATTTTTTTTTTATTTATTTATTTATTTATTTACAGCTTGATGACATAATTGAAGAAACTAGTTTGTTTAATATTATATTTGACCAAACAAATAAAATTAATTTACCAATTAGGTGGTCGGTTGATACTTTGATGACAAAGCTAAAATATTTAAAAAGTCAATTTCTTTTTATAAAATGGGACCATTTACTGTCTCATACTTCAGGTTCATCGAAAAACATCTAGTACTAAAAGAAGATTAGTAAATTATTATATTTAATTATTTAAAATATACTGTAAGTATTTATCTAATGTATAATTTTATTTTATATTACAGATTTAAGTATTATTTTACATATTTATGGCCGGGAAATATCAGTTGCAGATATTGGTTCTTCTAATTCTTTGTTAAAAAGCAAAGAAGACTTAGAATTAGTTTTAGATATATTTAATAAAACTAGGATTTGTAATGGATCAATATCAGCAAATGATATTACTGCCTACAAAAAATATTTTGGTAAGCAATATGTTAAAACATGTGGTAATTGATTCCATGAAAAATGTTTGAAAGTGCTACCTGAATTTAATAGGTAAATTTATCTATTCTACAAATTCATAACATGAAACATTATAATTGAATTATTAATTTTTACTATAAAATGATTTAATATTTAGTGATTCTTCTTGTTTATGGTGCAAGTGACTATTATATAGCGTAAAAAAAAAAAATGTACAAGAGTTCAAAAAGAATAAGTCCAAGAACATATTATTCCCCAAATAAAAAAAAAAATTTGGTGGTAATACTTCAGCAGAGGCTGATTTAGTAAATTTAAAGTCTAGAGGTTATTTAACTCATCCCAATCAAAACTTGCTCTTGATGCTAAGAAATTTAGAAGAATGTTACCAAAAACATGCAGATTTTATTCATGTTTTTGAAAACACATACGAAAAATTTTTAACCTTCTATACTAAGTTGAATTTTCCATGTAATAGTCATGAAACTGAAATACTTACAGATATATGTAGTACATTTATAATAATGAGAATGAGACAATTCACGTATATAAAAAAATCAAATGTCTAAAAAACAAAATAAGACTAAAAAGAAATTGTCTAAATTAGTAGCTACCTAATTAATAGTAGGTAAAAAAAGATAATTTTCATTTAAACTAAATTATTTTTAAATTGTATTTAAGTATTTAGCTGTAAGTTATATAGGTATTAATATTATTAAATTTATAAGTATTGTGTACTTTAATCTTGTACACATTCAACTTTTTTTTATATGAAATATTTTTTTTTTTTACAAGAAATATATAATCTATACAATTAAACATAATAAGTATATGTGAGATGAGGGTAACAAAACATTAAGGGGTTACGTGAGTAAGAAGCCACCCAACGGTAGTACTTAACTTGTTTAGTGTGATTACTTACAACTTGTTAGGATTAAGTTAGATGATCCCTACACCATTTCCTTTTCAGCCTGCGACGAGGGTTCCAGGAAGTGACGGGATATGTAAGCCTTTTATTAGAGGATTTACATGGTTTTCTAATTTATTATAGAATCGTTTATAGAAAATAGCAGCTTCTTCTTCTACTGTTTTTATACCAAGGTCTTTGTGTAGGGTCATGTTGGAGACGAATGGTGGGGCATTTGTGATTTTGCGAAGGGTAATGTTTTGGAATGCCTGAATTTTATTTAAATTTGATTTTCTTGCCGATCTCCACAGTTGAATTCCATACGTCCATTAGGTTTCAGAAGTGATTTGTATATTTGAAGTTTTGTTTTTAAAGATGTGAATTTATTTTTGGAAAGTTATAATTTTAGAGAACGGGTGCGGGCATTAAATATTTATCTTTTTTTCCTTATATGATTTTGCCATGTTAGTCTTTTATCGAGGTTAAGTCCTAAATATTTAACAGTGTCAAGAGCTGGGATAGGTACGTTATTAACAGTTACGTTAGGGCAATGCCCGTGTCTTAGGGTGAAGGTTGTGTGAATGGATTTGTTGTTGTTTAATTTAATTTTCCATTTGGCATACCATTCTGAGAGTAGATTTAGGTGGGATTGTAAATTTCTTGAAGCAATTAGCGGATCATTGTGTACTGACAATATGACTTTATCGTCAGCATAATCAGCAACAATAGTATTTTGTGTGGAAGGTTGATCGGCAGCATAAATGTTAAATAAGATAGGAGAAAGTACACCTCCTTGGGGTACTCCTGCACTTATTGTGGCTATATTTGAGGTGGCGGAGCCTTGACGTATTTCAGAATGTCAGTGTGTAA